ATACGTAAGGTTCGTTTCTGTCAGCAAGTTTTGTTATTGAATTTTTTTATTATTATTTACTATTTTTTATTCTTTTTTAATATATTTTTTTATTATTTTTTTATTATTATTTTTTTTTTTTTACTCTAAGGTCCCTGGCCATTGAACTTTAAGACATTAGTAGGACATTTCAATTTGTCCCATAACTATTTTAGGACATTTACTCGACAATATAATTTACCAGATAAACAAATACAGGACATTAGTGTACAGTAAACCTTGTTCTAATGCTACTTAGGACATGTGTTGGACAGTACAAATAGTCAGAATATTACTTAGGATATTAGTTGACCAATACTACTTATTACTTTAGTGGACAGTACTACTTATAAGACATTAGTGGAGCAGTACAACATAGGATATTTGTGGATACTACTCTTTTAGGACACTAGCGGACAGTATAACTCATCACATAACTATTTTGAGGACATGAGTGGACAAAATACGACTTAGGACATGCATTAGACATCAAAAACCCGACTATTTGGAACCACGTACGTATGTTAAAAAGGTCATTGGCGGGAAATTGAAAAGTTTGAGCAGACCGGCCCGCCAAGAGGATTAATTTGTTACATCAAAGACTCGTCCCAGGAGCAGCCATCCAGAATACCCGCCAGCAGAGTTCCCCAGCTCACGGCTCTGACCTATACACTGAGGGGGGACTAACGTGTTTTATAAGTGGGAGCGAATACTTTAACGTGATGGATGATGGAAGTGACGTGTGGTACTACTTAACGTGATGGATGAGTGGGAAGTGACGTGTGGTATTACTTAACGTAATGGATGAGTGGGAAGTGACGTGTAGTAGTACTTAACGTGATGGATGAGTGGGAAGTGACGTGTGGTATTACTTAACGTGATGGATGAGTGGGAAGTGACATGTGGTATTACTTAACGTGATGGATGAGTGGGAAGTGACGTGTGGTACTACTTAACATTACACCTAATGAAAGTATGAATGACATAACACAACACATGCTGAAAGTATAAATGACGTAACACAGCACATCATGAAAAGTATAAATGACTGAACAAGACATCACGAATAGATGGCGTAGAAGCTATACACAATCTGAACCTTTTACAAAACAAAAAACAAAAACAAATGAGAATCGCTGACACGTCCTTCCTATACCGTTTTACACACTAACAATCACACAGTGTTATATATTCCATTGAAATACAGAGAACAATCACGTATTAATGTCATGTTCATTCATTCAGTGTCACGTACCCTTGTTCACCCCCTCTGCCATACCCCTGGGAGGACCTAAGGGTGGTAATCCCTTGTTTAGATAGACCTGATAATACTCTTTATTAGTGGTGGAGTTGAGCCTTATACTGTATGTGATTAAAGGTGAATAAGGGTGTGGTTGAGCCTTATACTATGTGTTAATAAGGGTGAAATTGAACCTTATACTATGTGATTAAGGGTGAATAAGGGTGTAGTTGAACCTTATACTGTTTGTAATTAAGGGAGAATAAGGGTGTACCTGAACCTTATACTATATGTAATTAAGGGTGAATAAGGGTGTAGTTGAACCTTATAAACTATGTAATTAAGGGAGAATAAGGGTGTAGTTGATCTTATACTGTCTGTAATTAAGGGAGAATAAGGGTGTACATGAAATTTATACTGTATGTAATTAAGGGTGAATAATCACTGACCCACATCGGGGCCTGGGGGCGAAAATGTAATAATAATAATAATAATAATAATAATAATAATAATAATAATAATAATAATAATAATTAATAATTCATAGTAAATACAATTTATAATACAAAATACAAAATTGAAAATAAAATATTAAAATAATAATGATTATAATAATGAAACTGTAATAATAATAATAATAATAATAATAATAATAATAATAATAATAAAGAACCATAAAGAAATAAAAAAATTAATTAAATATCAAAAGTGAGAAACAATATATGTATCTTGTGTTGTCAATAGTAAGAGAAACAATTGAGACCCTGCAATTGTGTGTAAATGAGGCAGAAAATCAGATCAGCAACCTGGGACTTGGTCACATTTTTCATGGGGCCATATGGCAGCAGGGTCTACCATTAGACAACACATTATGCTTCCAATATCTTCCTAGGCGGTAGTACCTCCCTGTTTGGTAGCTGCCTACTACCTACAGTACTACCTGTGTAGATTAACCTTAAATATAGAGTACTGAAATCTCTAATCTGAAATAATTAATACCCATTCCAATAGAGTTTAGTAGTTTTGGTGTTTTTCTTGATTTTTTATTGACCAATTTAGAGTCTCACTTTAAGTTCGTCACTATTAAGACCGCCATCTATATTCCATAGTTAGATGGGAGGAGGGGTGGGGTGGGGGATGGGAGGAGGGGTAGGTGGGGATGGGAGGAGGGGTAGGTTGGGAGATGGGAGGAGGGTAGGTTGGGAGATGGGAGGAGGGGAGGGGGAGATGGGAGGAGGAGGTTGGGGAGATGGAGGAGGAAGGTTGGGGGATGGGAGGAGGGGTAGGTTGGGGGATGGGAGGAGGGGGAGGGGATGGGAGGAGGGGTAGGGTTGGGGATGGGAGGAGGGCAGGTGTGATGGGATGGGAGGAGCTGGGTTGGGAGATGGGAGGAGGGTAGGTTGGGAGATGGGAGGAGGGGTGGATAGGGGGATGGGAGGAGGGGTAGGTGTGGGATGGGAGGAGCTGTAGGTTGGGAGATGGGAGGAGGGGTAAGTGGGGGATGGGAGGAGGGGTATAGGTGGGTGGGTGGGGGGATGAGGGGGTGATTTAACGTATGACTGTTGGAGAATTGGATCGTAAGGTGCATAATTATCATCAAATATTTAGTGGGGGTTTCTGGGAAAGTGTGTCGAGGCAGATGTTATCACAGCTCCTGGAGGCTCTCACACAAGAGACCCACTGTATCAAGAACCTCCTTCCTCCTTTCCCTCATTCCTTCTCCTTCCCTACGTCTTTCCCTCACTCCCTTCTTTCTTCATTGCAGCCCTATGTTCCTCTTCTCCCTACCTCTCTACCCTCCTCTCCCACGCTTCCCTCCCCCTCCCCCTCTCCCTCCTTCCCTCCGTCACTTCCCTCCCTCCCTCCCTCGCTTCCCTCCGTCACTTCCCTCCGTCACTTCCCTCCCTCTCTTCCTATAGGTGATGAGTCAAGACCAAACAGCTTATTTCACCTTAAGACTATCCATATAACGGTAGTCTGACCTAACCTAACCTAATCCCCAGTTGTTTCACTTTAAGGTTAACCTCTGTATCGCCATCCTAACCTAACCCCCTTAAAATAGTATTAGGTGATTACTCATAAGGTGAAATATAGGCTGGGGAGGGGGGGGGGCAAACCTTCTAGTGATCTGTGCAATGTATCACAAATCTAATTAAACTTCAGCAGTAATTTATGTAAACCTTCTTTATTATTTTTTATTAGTGAATTTTCATTAACAGAAAGTGTTTTATTATCGCTTTAACATTTTACTATTTTTTTTGTGTGTTCTTGTTATGTTCGTCTTGTATATTTCTAACTCTTGGTTCCTTCTACGTCAATAAATTGTTCTGTGTTGTTATATTCTTAAGACGTCGAAATTGTACTGAAACTCAACTGTATGTAGATGTGGTCTGTGATTCCCAGTTAAAGGGGACAATATAACGTGGTACGGACCTTTGAGAGTGGTGGTGGGTCTGGTCAACACTACAAGGTTATCTGTGGGTGCTGTGGACGGCGTCTGTGAGACTTGGCTGTGGGTATTACCTTCCTCCCCTGGGCCCCTCGGCAGGCTAATGAATATAATCTTCCTGACGCTAGACATGACCGAATTTCATGTCACGATATGTGTAACTGAAGAACTTTTGGTACATATAATGACCCGATATATTGTGGTGACCTTCACAGCTTGGGGAAGGACATGACGGTATGTGTAACTAAAGACCTTAAGTTTCTCGGTACAGTAACGTATAAAGGAGCACCAGAACTCCTTGACTAGAATCTCTTATTTCATGAAGACGCCAAAGTTCGAGAGGGAGTTTGTCTTGGCAGAAGGCGTTTCCTTGTAAATTATTGGCCAAGTTAATTTCAAACGACGTAAATTATTATCCTTTCATAATTTCTGCCGTATGGTGAAAAAAATAAAATAAAAATAAACATTAGAGTCAACTTACGTATATATCGGATCTTTGACAGGTTATGTTCTATACTTGAGGTGTAATGGCGTTGTGTAGGGCAAGACGACGTTGAAGATATAGAACGGAAGTAATATCGACGATACTGTCACTGCCCGGGAGTACCTCAATGTGTGTGCTACTTACTGGTAATGACTCTGGTTGTGGTTTAGTTCCGGGTGTTGATGGTGGAGTGAGGGCTGGAAATTGGAGGTGGTGGTGGTGTTAGGGAAGGTGTGGTGGTGTTAGGGAAGGAATGGTGGTGTTAGGGAAGGAATGGTGGTGTTAGGGAAGGAGTAGTGGTGGTGTTAGGGAAGGAATGGTGGTGTTAGGGAATGAGCGATGGTGTTAGGGAAGGAGCGGTGGTGTTAGGGAAGGAATGGTGGTGTTAGGGAAGGAATGGTGATGTTAGAGAAGGAGTAGTGGTGGTGTTAGGGAAGGAATGGTTGTGCTAGGGAAGGAGTGGTGGACACTGGTGGTGTTAGGAAAGGCATGTGGTGTCAGAAGTTGCGATGAAGAAGGTGCTGTCATGAGACCTTTGGTGACAAGAGGAGGAGGGGGTGATGGTGGTAGAAGGATAAATAATAGGAGAAATATGGAGGATAAGATGGTGGTAGAAGAGGACATACTTGTGGTGGTGGAGGGACTGGTGATGGTGGTAGAGGAAAGATAAAGTGTTGGTGGTGGTGACAGAGGAAAATGTGGAGGCGGTAGTGGTGGAGGGACTTGGTGGTCGAGGAGGAGGAGGAGGTGGTGGTGGTGGTGGTGGTGGTGGTGGTGGTGGTAGAAGAGTAGGAGGTGCGCGGGTAGGAGGCGTGGTGCGGGAGCGTGGTGGTACTGGTTGAGGTGCAGGCAGCTCTCGGGGCAGTGTAGTGAGGGCGTCCGTCCGCAACGGTGCCGCGCCGCCACTCCGTCCGCGTTCAGTGCCAGTGTGAGTGTCTCCCTCGCTGCTCCTACTACTACCGCTGCTGCCTCGCTTCTCGTAGTGTGACCATGCTAGGTCAGTGAGTGTGTGCCAAGCAGCGAGAAATTGTTATCAGTGTTAGTGTATCATCGCCATGGGTGCCGATAGTTGGTTGTGTTGGTGCCTGGCGGTGGCGCTCATGATCACCCGTGCCGTCAGCGGCTTCCTGCTGGAGGGATCGCCAACCTCCTTCGCCCAGTTTCCTCGGTGGATGCCTGGCGCTAATGGCTCGCTTGAGTTTGAATTTTTAACCCGGGAGCTAAATGGCCTGCTCCTGTATACGGACGATGGCGGCTCTTATGAGTTCTTTGAACTGAAACTGGTAGAAGGCGCGGTTCGCCTGCACTACAACATGGGAGGGGGCGCGCGGCTTTTGACGGTGGGGAGCGGCCTCAACGACGGTTTGTGGCACCGTGTCAAGGTGTCTCGCCGTCACGACCGAACACACCTCACGGTTGACGGAAAGACGGAAACCCGCGTTATCAAGTCTCTGAACCACGAGTTCGGCTCTCCAGACACTAACTCCTTCATGTACGTGGGGGGCCTGCCGCTCCTGGTGACCAGGCAGGTGGGGTCAAGACTCACGCTACCCGTCGTCACTCTAGAACCTCGCTTTGCCGGGCAGTTTCGTGAGCTTGTGTATACCGGGGCCGACGGCGTCTCCCGCAGCCAGAACATGATCGCCAGCCAGGTAAGACAACTTGTTTACTGAGGGTGGACACCACTGTCCTGTCTCGGGGAGCTGTTGTTTGTTCAACCTTTCAATTCTACCATTGTTGTTGCATGTTATTCTGTTTATTCAACGCCAGAATATTTACTGAGATCCCCAAAAAGTGTTCTGGTGAGTGAAGTTATGCTTTGTTTTGTGTTGAGGTGGCTGGCCATTGATTATCGGAGGAGCAGCAACGTGCCTAACAGGGAGGCACACGCCCCTACCCTGCCCTCCAGCACACGCCAGCCACCACGGGGGACTCACCTCACTCCACAACCTTCTGGATTTTGTATCAACCAGATAGCGGGTAATGTACGAGGTGTCGTCCCCCCTCACTAACCCATTCCAAAATAAACCACTTTATTCATATATTTTACTTTATAATATCATTTACAAATTATAATGAAGATTTAACTTTTACCTTTAAACCTGACTTTTTTTTCATCCAGTGAATTAAAATAATCTCTTACAGAAACAAAATAAAAATTAGTTCCACTCCATTTCTGATGACGTAATAAACGTAAACATTGTGTGTGTTTTTTGTGTTTCTTGGGGAAGGGTTAGGGTGTGTGATGTCCAGGATCCCATTTTATTTTGCATTGAAAAGTTGGAGTAGTGAATCAGGCAGCGGGCGTCTATCTGCTTTAGGCTATGAGAGAACACCCGCATGCCGGTACAAGTATATCCGTGAGTGGTACAAGGGGCGATGATCAACCATTTCCTTGTAAATTAAGTTAGGGTTATTTTAACTCCTTCTGGTACTGTTAGTAAACCCGTCAGGAATCTCTCTGGAGTCCTCTTTACCCCAAATGATCGTCCTGTCAAAAGTAACTTCGCAGTACACATCCTCCCTGGGCTATCTGCCGTGTGTGTGTGGAGCACTAGACTCTCCACCTACCTGAGGGCTGATTTTTGTGATCACAGGAGGGATGGCTCGAGTGAGGAAGGGGGATGCTCTTCAGTACCCGTGCGTGCCTTTCTGTCTGTTTCATTGTTGTGTTGTCTTACTCATTCCCTCGTAACCCCATTCATCCTTCTCTCTCTCTCTCTCCCTCTCTATCTATCTTTCTCTCCATGTCGCGGTGTGTGTATATATATCTTTATCTTCTCTTTATCTCTTCCCTTCTGTATCCACCTTCCTTATCACAGTGTCCAGAAGGTGAACAAACTCGTAAACATGGCAGCTATTGGGCCGCCGCGCCGCTATGAATGTACTGTACTGTATCAGAATTTGCAAAACTCCTTGAACGTGAGCTGTTTACACAATTGCCTTTTTTACTTGCAACTTGAAACGATAAAACTTCCAACCAGCAACTAATTGTGTTACTTTTATACCTGTAATCCTCAGTACACAAGAACCTAGTTCAAGTTTTTAAATGTTAATATTTTGTTGGATGAATGAGTTAGTGGAGCTTAGTGAAGGTTTTGTAGTCAGTATGATAATTTGGGATGGAAGCATCGATTATATCATTAGAGTATTATTAAATTAGACTTATAACAGTTTTAGGCATTATTATTACACTTATAGTTTCATGGGATAGATACATCGTGATAGCTTTGATGAGTTATATGTTTGAGCATATTTAAAAGAGAAATCTTATCTAATTTAGTTTTTAGTGTTGGAAAGCCGAGGTCATCCACGAATTGGTTCAGGTTATCTGTGTGTGGTTAAGAAGAGGAACGTCGCGTCACTATCCCTCGCTGACTCTACCTTGTATATGATGATGATGATGATGAGGGACACGTCTATGTGTGTGTGTATATGTGTGTGTGTGTGTGTGTGTGTGTGTGTGTGTGTGTGTGTGTGTGTGTGTCCTCCCACTTCGTTAAATCAACTCAGGGAATCACCAGGTGGGGATGGGGCCGCCGCTACTGTTGCGTTATGCATCACTAAACAACTTCGGGTCCAGTGTGTGTGTGTCTTAACTTACCCTCACTGATACTTACGCCTCCTCACATCTTTCCTTCATCTTTATTTACCTACATAACACCTAAGAGCCTTCACGCCTCCCCCTTCCCCACCAGGATACCTACAAAGTAAATGATGTTTGCCTACGAGACATGATAAAAGTGAATATTTATCTACGTAGGTTCAATATAAGCCCAGAGAGATTCAAGACTGCTGCGCATTTCACCAGGATATACAGGTTAAGTAGCGGCTGGTGAAGAACTTTTATAAATAAACTATCTGAAGTAGGTAACGATAGCGGTGTAGTGTTGCCTGTTGCGTTGTATCGGGACTCATCTGCTGGGGGGGAGGGGGCTGTGAGTCGGCTTTACATCTGAGAGCCTAGCTGGTGTTGTGTGTGTGTGTGTGTTGAAAGTATAACGCCAGTAGGAGGAAGGGAGTTTTGTAAGGAGGAATGTGTGCCTGGCATAGTTTAGTATCGCCTTTAATATTAGTGGGTGTTGGTGGGGGGAGGTAAAGTATAATGGAAGCTTAGCATTCACTTGGAGCGTTTGATGCATGTTGAGTGCTGGCGAGTATAAGAGAGGACCTTGTTCATTGTTTTATTCATAGGGAACGTTGAACATCGTTTTATTAAATGAACTTCTACGTTAATGTTGCGGTAAAGGAGAAAATAACGCGGTACATGAGCAAACAGGTGATGGTGTATGGCTGATCAGGAATATACTCTTGAGGCGATGAATTACATATGGAGTCTATTTCCTGAAGTTCTTCTTATTCCGTGTCATGAAGGCGAGTCTGAAACCTAACCCTGAAATATTGAGGATAGTGTGGGCCGATGCAGGTGTTGTAGTGTGAGGATATAACCTGACCTGACCTGATCTGACCTCTCGGGACATGTCGATCGTTGTAAACTCTCTCTCTCTCTCTCTCTCTCTCTCTCTCTCTCTCTCTCTCAGGAGTTCTAGAAATAGCCCTTACACGTCTAGGGTTTCCTACGCGCATAGTCAACTTGTCACCTTGTCACCTTGATTATGGAGATACCTACTAAGCTTACCACTCTACCAAGCTTTCCACTCTATCAAGCTTATCACACTACCAAGCTTACCACTTTATCAAGCTTATCACACTACCAAGCATACCACTCTACCAAGCTTACCAGTGAGGAGAGGATACACACGATGCTAAAACTGCAGGTCTCCATTCAACAACCTCTCTTTCAAGTATACAGTAGTTCAGTATTTTAGCCAATCATGGGATCAGATTCTTGTAGTAAATAACGACCCAACAAAACCTTAACACGTATTTAGATCAGGATGAAGTAATAGGGAGAGAAATGGGAGGGAAGGAGGAGGGGAGATGGGAAGGAGAGGGAAGGGAAGGAGGAGGAGATAGGAAGGAAGAGAGGGGAATGGAAGGAGGAAGAGAAGGAGGAGATAGAATGAAAGAGAGGGGATAGTGGAAAGGAAGGGGAGGGACGGATGGGAAGGGGGGTGAGGAGGAGGGATGGTCACCTAGAAAAGAGGACAGCTATGGATACTTGAACCTGATTTAAATGACCAGGGATGATAGAGAATGACTCTAAGTGAGGTGATATTGACGGGGGAGGTGATGAGTAAGGGGAAGGGGGGATGTACAGGTAAGGGTGAGAAAGGAAAAGGAGTAGATGTAATGGAGGAGAAGGGGAAGCAAAGTGGATAGAAGAGAGATACGGAAGAAGAATGATAATGAATAAGGTAAGATAGAGGGAAAGGGAAGTAGAAGTGAGGTAGGAGGAGATGAGGGGAAAGAGGGAATGGGGGGTGTTGAAGGGAAGAGGGGAGTTTATCACAAAGTCTCCATTGCGGTGCCTTGTGATCATCTAGCATGGGATAGGAGGGAGGGAAGGTAGAGAAGGAAAGGGAGGGAAGGAAGAGGAGGAGGGAAGGAGGGAGGGGAGGAGGGGATGGAAAATAACTAAAGAAAAACGAATATGAAAATCAGAGAAAATTTTCGCTTCACTTTTTTGAATTGAGTGAATGAAATGGGTTTTTAAAGGGTTAGGTGTGATAATGGCATTGTCTGTCTGTCTGTCTGTCTGTCTGTCTTCTCTGTTTGTCTGGGAGCAAGTGAGAAAACAAACAAAAAGAAACAGCGAAAAAATAAGAGACCGAGAGAAATAAAACCGACACGGAAAGAAAAGTGAGACAGAGAGAGAGGCGGAAAAAAGTGTGTAGGAATAAACGACTGGGTACATTTGTCAAGGCATTATCTGAGCCACAGTCCCCCCCCACCTCACCTCCACCACCATTGCGTGAAAAAAAAATAAAAAGAAAACAGAAAATGGAAGGTGGTGGTGTTGTTTGTTTTTACTGCAGTCAACACCATGTTCAGAACACAACACTCTCTCTCTCTCTCTCTCTCTCTCTCTCTCTCTCTCTCTCTCTCTTCTCTCTCTCTCTTCCTCTCTCTCTCTCTCCTCTCTCTCTCTCTCTCTCTCTCTCTCTCTCTCTCTCTCTCTCTCTCTTCTCTCAAACTAATTAAAACCTCCCACAATCAACAGCTGCTGCTTGTTCTGGCCGGATTCTCAAAGTGGCAAGTTCAAATATTCTCTCTCTCTCTCTCTCCTCTTAGCTGGGAATGTGGGGAACGCATCTAATTGGCTCAGTTTTAAGCTACGACACAAAGTTTAGGGTGAGGGGGGCTTAAAAATGGCGGCAATTGCATCGAGACTCGACCGTAACTGGATACGTCCGTTCTCTTAAACTGTAGTTAAGGGAGGGGGGAGGAGGTGGTTGGTGTTGGAATTGGCTTACGATATCTTGGGCTTTGGGAGGGAAGGAAGGGATAGTGGGGGGAAGGAGAGGAGGATGGCCGCTGAAGGGAAGGAAGGAGATCCAGATAGTGGGAGAGGAAGGAGATGAAGAAAGAAAGGAGAGGGAAGGAAGGAAGAAGAATGAAAAAAAAGATAGAGATTGGGGCACAAGAAGAGATTTAGGGAAATAAATGTGAGAACAGGAAGGAAGAAATACAGGGATAATGAAGAAGGGGACAAGGACAAAATAGAAAAAAAAATAAGACGAAGAAAATAAAGGGAGAGAGAGACTAAGGTTCATCCTCACAATAA